GTTTTTCTTTAAAATATAAAGTGGTATGGAAATGAATATCAATAATAATAATAAACCCATTGCAAAAAAAAGGACATCTAGACATTCCGTTGTGGTGATTGTAACCTTGGTTTAAGGTGGCATTTGGTGAATAGCTTATATATCTGAGTTTCTAATGCTGGTTACCTTCATATGGTTTAAACAGACTGGCAGCAAATGTCCAAGGTTTCAGGCAGAGAGATGTTTTCCACCCTTACCTGGAGATGCTAGGGACTGAAGTTGGAACTTCTACATACAAAGCATGTCTCAACCCCTCAAGGCTACAATTATTCAGTGTTAGCATCCTCTGTACAGATTATTCAACTATGTGATTATTCAACCCCCCAGCCTTCCTCAACTTCCAGACTGGCCCTCCCAGGACAATGGTCAGAGATGATGGAATCTGTAATCTAAAACAGGTGGGTGGCATCAAATTAGGTAAGGCTGTCACATCCTTTGGTCTGCTTACATTATGATTTTGAAAAGCAATCAAGTTTTCTCTTCTGAATGGTGTCCTTGGTGATACGAGAGTTATTTATAACCTGGAATTATCAGCCTGGCCACAATGAATTTCAAACGTATGCTGAGGTCTGACCTATAATTGTCTGTGAGGTCTTCTTTAATCTATCATACAGAGGTAACGGTGCTTTAAAGGATCTTGTTGTAAAATAGCAAGCAATATTTTCAGTTTGATCCCAGCCAGCAATTTGAACCAACATTTCAGTTTCAGAAATATAAGGGTACAGTGGTACCTCGGGTTACATACGCTTCAGGTTACATACACTTCAGGTTACAGACTCTGCTAACCCAGAAACAGTGCTTCAGGCTAAGAACTTTGCTTTAGGATAAGAACAGAAATCGTGCTCCGGCGGCTTCAGGTTAAGAACAGTAAAGTGGTGCTTCAGGTTAAGAACAGTTTCAAGTTAAGAACAGACCCCCGGAACGAATTAAGTACTTAACCCAAGGTACGACTGTACTGTGTTTTCCAGGTAGCATATTATGGTATTTTTAAAACAAACCACAACAACAACACCACATACCTTTAGCGTACACCAAAGTGACTGGAGAACTTTCATGATTATAAATATGTCTTTTGGTTTTTGAAATACTTTCAAACTACATTGTTGCAACCACTGGCAGGAACGGGAGGGTGGAGGGAGCAGACAGCCCCTGGCACCACTATTCTGGTAGGGTGCCATCGCGGCGCCCCCCGACACACGCTGTGCACTCCCCAGTGTGCCGGGCACCACGCCCCCACAGGCAGCATGCCATGCCCCCAGAATGTGCACCATGCCCTCACAGATGGCATACCACGCCCCCGGGATGCATGCCATGCCCCCCGGGGTGTGCGTCACCCCCCTGGGGCACGCTAGGCATGCCCCCGGCTGCTTTCCACCCCCAGTAGTGCTTCGCCACTGGTTGCAACAACTGACCAATATGAGATGCTCTCAAAATCCTGCCACTCCCTGTGCTTGAAGCAGCTTATAAAAAGCAATCACACACCCTCACCTCCCGAAACTACAGTGGTACCTCGGGTTAAGTACTTAATTCGTTCCGGAGGTCCGTTCTTAACCTGAAACTGTTCTTAACCTGAAGCACCACTTTAGCTAATGGGGCCTCCCGCTGCTGCCGCGCCACCGGAGCACGATTTCTGTTCTCATCCTGAAGCAAAGTTCTTAACCCGAGGTACTAATTCTGGGTTAGCGGAGTCTGTAACCTGAAACGTATGTAACCTGGGGTACCACTGTATTAAACAACTGAAATGCACTTGTTTTAAAGTGGAGCTGTTTCCAGCCTTGGAATAAAGTCATTTTCAATTGCTAACATTATCTCTCTATACTGTATATGTATGTGCAAGAGGGGTAAAAATGATGTAGAAGTCTTTCAAATCATGAGTAGGCTAACAACTGTTTATTTAATGTTGCCTCATTCTTTTCAACTTAACTTATAATTACCATATCAGATAGACTGCAGTACTGTGTTTAGTATAAAATGACAGTTTGTGGACCTTTTAAAGAATATCCTCCAAGTACACAATTGTCAGGGGGGAAAGGCCAAGCAAATAAGTTATGAAATGTTTTGCATAGACATGAGCTAGTCTGTATGGAGCACGGTGTCAAAAATAAGCTTGCATGGCTGATGTGTTCTCTATCAACTACGATCAACAAGGACACGCAACAATCATAGCATTGTTACCAAGTTCAAGTGTGAGATAAGAATATCCTGAAAAGTTCAAACGAATAACCTGCAAGGATATTTCAACACCATATGACACAAGTATCCAAGATACGGCAAGTCCTTCAGGGGCAGCTCATAGCCAACGGCAACTGTCTTAAAAGTGTGTGTGTGTTTTGGAGGTGGAAGGTTTTAGATCTGAAGTCAGATGTTCATTGATTTACTACATTGACAAGATCTGGAGTATTTACGAGACCCAGAGTTATGAGTGAATTGTGAGCTAGCAAAGCTGGTGCCACCTCATTATTCAGGGTGGGGAGGGGGGGGAAACTGATTGCGATGATCTCCAAAGGAATCTCTCTAGACTGGCTGAAGGGGAATTAAAATGGCAAATGTGGTTTCATATAAGCAAGTGTAAAGTAATTCACTTGGGGGGGGGGTCTACAATCCCACCCTTACATGCACACTGATTGGGTCTGAACCAGGTATCAGGATCACAGTGGAAAGTTCAATTAAAACATTGATCTAGTGTGTGGCAACTGTGAAATAATGTTCACCTACCATTGTTAGGTATCATTAGAAAAGTAATCAGGAAAAAAACTACCAATATCAGAAAGCTTTCATATCAGTATGAAACTACACTCTGAATATGTTATACAGTTTTGGTCACCACAGCTCAATAAAGATACTGTATAGCTGGAAAAGTTGTAGAAATGATCAGGAGCAGTGGAATAACTCTCATAGTACCCGAACTCAATGTCATCCAATGAAGGTTGGATGTGGAAGATTCAAGACAGATAAGAGTACTTTGCTATAGAAGATTCAGGCCAGAAAAAAAGGAATTACACAGCACATAACTGAACTATGGAGTTTGGTACCTCAAGAAGTAGTATAGGCCACAAATTTTGGCTGTTTTTAAAAGGGATTAGACAAATTCATGCAGCTATATACTGTATAGTACCTTAAGGATCTAAGGCAACATACCTCTGAATACTGTACCACAAATTGTCCTGGAGCAGCAGCAGGAGAGGCCTATTGTTTATCTCCTGCTTGTGGGCTTCCCACCTGTGCAGGTGACTGTGGGAAACACAATGCTGGCGTAGGCAGGCCTCTAGTCTGATCCAGCAGGCCTCTGCTTGGCATCTTCCATCCTGGAATTCCAGGCAGCCTACAACAGGATTCCCAGATGGTCTCCCATGCAGTCAATGACCAGGACAAACTCCAAACGAGTTTATAAACCGGAAGGTCCACTGCCAAATGAGGTGAACTCCCTCCTCTGTCATTTGATTATATGTCACAGTTGATTATCTCCTCCTATTGGACCAACTTAGCTTGACTGAGGAGTATGCACACTCTAAGTTCCTCTGAACTTCCTCAGGGCAAGAGTTTCATGTTCATTATCCTATGAGTAGTCCCTGAAGCAACACAGTCTCTTCTAATTGTTATTCTCCCACAATTGTTATATTGTATCAGGAAGAGTATCACATAGGCTGGCTAGACACTTTTCATCTCACTTAAGTATACAAAACTCTCAAAGCAGCAGCAGCATAGCCAGCAATAACAAGAGATCAGGGCCTCCCAGCTCACCCCACTTTCTCTTGCAACCATTTGTATATATCCCTTCTGCAATACTAGGCTGTGTACACACAACATTTTGTTCTAGGATCAATAGAAGCAGAGTCCTTGCTTCTTTCTATGTAGTCCGCAAACAATCTAGATCTTCAGTGGAGAAATGCCCCCAAAAGCACTTTCTGATAAGCAGGTTTCCTTCCAAAAATAAAAGCTCATTGCAGTTTGATTCTGCAGTACCCCTCAGTGTGTCCTTTTGAAAACATCTGTAGGTGATCTGAGACATGGGTGGTGTATCCACACCTGCCCAACGACATCATGGGTGGGATCATCACAAGATCACAGTCGCCACTTCCTCCTTGATTCACTTGGGGCATGTGTAGGCGTGGGGAACAGAATCCAGGGGGGAGGGATTTCAAATGTGTATCAAGTCTAGAACGGATCTAGCTTGAAAGCAGCATGTTGAGGATTCCGGAATGAGAAAAACTACACTTCTGTGCTGCAAACCGGTTACTGCTTTCCTGCAACACTTCCTCTCCAGCTCATGCCCTGGCATGTTACAATATTTATTAATTTTTATTCATAAAAATATTTACAACCCGCCCACTTATGCAACAACCCAAGGCAGCGTGGAGCAATACATGCAGGTTTACTCTCCCATTTCATCAGCCACAGTCCAGGCCCGTTGCGGGAGGCCTCGTAACTCCTTCTCAGGTGAGCGGGAAATGCATGTCATAACGCCAGATGTGGCACAAAGGGCGCGCACAATGCGCCCCCCCCCCCGCGACTCTGGCAGCTACCGCTGGGAAAGCTTTAGTCGACTACCTTAGTGGAGAGAAAGATTAGGGAAGGGCTGGGCGTGTGCCACCAGCTTGCGCCCCTTAAGGCTGGTAGTAGCCTGAATTTATTTATCAGCCTCAGGCCACAACATCGATAGGGACAACAAGTCCGCCTTCTCCCCTGCCTGGGATCCAGCCAGCAATTCCACTACAGCCCCTGGCGATCACAACACAGAGGCACACAACACACACGACATACTCCACGATCGGGCTGATCCGCGCCGCGTCTTGGGCGCAGCGCCGCCAGACAGACGTGAGACAGATTGTGGCTATCGTCAAGCGGCAGCCGCGCCACCCTTTTTCTATCTCACACACACACAAACCCACACACACACAGTGACACACATAAATGCACAAAAGAGTACAAAAGAAGGCGCAGCCCGCGCCCCAATAACGCACCCCAGGTGTCCTCTGTCGCGCGCTCTGGCCTCGCAGGCTCCCGGGGGTCTGCAGCATCCACCCCCCTGGAGAGGGGGATCGGGCGGGCGTGGAGACACGGAGGAGACCCCCTTCCTCTACCCACGCGAGGAAGGCGACTTGGAGTGGCGGCGGGGAAGAGCGGAGGCGGCGTGGGGGACCCCGCAGGTCAGGGCGAGTCGGCTCGTCAGCTGCCACGACAGGAGCAGGGCGGGCGGCGAGGGGGTGGCTGGGTGGGTGGGGGAGATCCCCCTCGGATCTGCTCCCTCTCAGGCTCGGTCGGCGCTGTCACGAAGCGAGACGAGGCTGGAAGGCGCCGCTCTCCTCCTCCCTCCGCAGCAAGCGTGGCCTGGCGCGAATCAAATCGCCGCTCCTGTCCCGTGCGCTCAGGTGGGCAGCTCCAAAGGGGCGCCCGCGTGCGCCGGCTTGGGGTGGCTGCCCAAGCGCCTTCTCTCTCTCGCCTCCTCCCACGAGTTCGGGGTCAGCCTCCCGCTCCTCCTCCGCTTCCTCCTGCCAGCCGCCGGGGTCTTTGGTCGCCGCAGCCTCCCTTTCCAAGAAGCACCTTCGCCCAGGCAAGGACGCGCGCGGAGCTGGCGAGCGCCGAGGGGTGGGGCTCTCGCGCCCGCCTCCCGAACCAGGAAGGACGGAGTGAGGCGCGCGAATGTCAACACGGCGGGGAGGGGCGCGGGGGAGGGAGGAGGAGGAGGAGAAGGCACCCTCTGCGCTGGATCGGACCTTCCCGGGGGCAGAGGAAAGGTTGAGCACTCCCCCCGCCCGCCCGCCCCTTTTGAAGTCGAGCTACACGTTACACTGACACGTTTATTTGGAAGGCAAAGCAGCGGGTGAACAGAAGGAACAAAGCTGAATCCTCGCCTTGCGCTGCAGCAGGGGCTGGAAAGGATGGGGGGGGAGGAGAGAAACACCCCCCCCACAGGAAGTCCCTGCAACCCCACCCCATGGTGCCTTCTGCTTAGAGTTCTGCCGCTTCCGGTGTTTGGAGCGGAAAAGTTGGCGAGCGAAGCAAGGAAGTGACTGGTCCTACTTCCAGTTACTTTCTGGGCAGGATTGGACCCATGGGGGATTGCAATGGGTTGGACTAGATGACCCTTGGGGTCCCTTCCAACTCGACAGTTCTATGGTTGTATGTTCTGAGCAGCTGTCTCACATTCTCTCACCCTCTCTCTCTCTGCAAGGTGAGAAGGGTGGTCATGGAAGGACTATCTCCCTATTGTCTACAGTGGCTCTCCAGGAGTTGGGGCAAGGGTTTCTCCCAGCCTTACCTGGAGACATGGGGGACCAGACTAGCATGCAAAGCACATCTCTGCTGCTGAACTGCTTCTCCTGGATTGCATTTTGGTAGAGATTTCAGCCAAGGAATCCAACCCTTCCCATAGTCCTACATGGAGGGGGAAACAAGAGGAGGCAGTGGGTGTCTCTTCTCTCTAGCAAGGACTGAGAAATAGAAAGTTGCCTCTGCTTGATTGCTCACCTGCCCTCACCTAAGACCTGCTCAGTGGGTAGAGCGTGAGACTCTTAATCTCAGGGTCGTGGGTTTGAGCCTGTAGTTTGTGAATCAGTTCAGGTCTGCAAAAAAGGTTGGCAAAATACCAGAGGAACAAACGTGTATCTTCAGACAGAAAATTGTTGTATCCAGGAAGTACAGCAGAACTGGAGTCAGAACTACTACTGCCGACCCATTTTGCCTTCCCTTCCATTTGCAGTCTTGTCCACAGGACTTGAAATGACCCTGACAAACCATCCATGGTCTCCTTGGGCTTCCTTTCTGGTCTGAGTCTGTCTAAATCAGGGATGGGTAATTTGTGGTCCTCCAGAGGTTGATGGAATCCAGTTCACATCAGCCCCAGTCAGCAGGCAGGAGTGAAGGAGGTTGTAGTCCTCCAACATCTGGATGGCCACAGTTTCCACACTCCTGACTTAAAAGACTCCAACCAAACGTGTGGCCAATCCTACTCCAAAAGACACATTAGGTTGTAATGAACTAAATTCTAATCAAAGTAGACCTATTGAGATTGATGGACATGACTAACTTACATCTATTAATTTCATTGGGTCTACTCAAGAGTATAATTTTATTGACCACAACCCATGGATTCTACAATATCCCCAAGCTCCTTATTCCAGTGCTCTTCCCACACTTTCTTCCCCCCATTTCATCCATGCACATACAGAATGCAGAATTTCTTCCTAATACTCAAACACTCTATATTGCAGAATGTCTGTTGTGCTGGTGTTAGCAATTCTTCAAAGAAGGAGGCACCCGTGCTCGGAAGCTATCTCTGCTCAATGCATCTGGCACACACACCAGTGTCATTTCCTCTGCATCCTTCCTGTTGCTTGCAAAACTGCATGCTGCTATTTTAATGACTCAAAAATGCCATCTGTGCCCTGTTCTTCACTAGTATATATCTTGACCCAAAGGACTGAACACACAGGAATATTTTTCCTTCCCCTTTTGCTTTTGCACTTTCAAAACCAAGCAAAACGGCATGGTAAAGGTGTTAAGAAACCTACAGTGGAGATAAACCACTCATGTCTGCATATTGTCTATTTTGAGAGGGTGAATGGTGATGACATCAGGCTTTATTCCTTGTTTTAGCTAGATCCGGGGATGGTGATTTCCATGAATGATTGTCTAAAATCAATGGTGGGGTGGATGAGGTTGAATAAACCAGGGAGTTGATGATAGTTCATGGGTGAACTGGCAATGAATCATTGGTTGGGATGATGCCCCTACTAGGCAAGCGAGGATCATAGAAATCAGAGAGTTGGAAGGGACCAACTCTATGATCATCTAGTAGTTCCTAGGTTGAGTGATGTGGCTTGACTTTGGGATGCACACATTGTTTGTTTCCTCTCCACCTTAATCAATCAATAGCAGCAGAAGTAAGAGTGCTACTGCTAGCCATAAATGCATGCTTTTGCATCTGGGGGATAGGGCTGGTAGTCTCTGCTGTATTTTTGTATATTGGCTTGCATCCAATGGCATGCTAAGTAACTGTCCAGTCAGTGCAAGGACTTAGGCTTGAGCAATGGGGTGGGGTGGGGGGTTTCGGACCAGTTGTGCAAAGTTGGAGAGTCATTGTAATAATCAGGAAGCCACCTCTCTCCTACCTCCCTCGTCTGTCTGTGCAGAATGCTTATTGGCTAACCCTTGTGGCAATCCCTTCCTTCACCGTCCTAGACCAATGCTTCAGGCTCACCACAACTCACACTGAACAAATGTTTTAATGAGCAAATATCCCGGCATCTGATTAAAGGGTTTAAGGCTGCTTGAAGCACAAGGCCGGGGCAAAAATCCAACCTGGAGTTGGAGCCAGGTGTGCATGTCAGTGCAGGAGTGAAACCCGGAAGAAAGCACAGGAGCACCTGCTCATGGAGAGAGCAACACCCAAATGCAGCCTTAGTTTCATTCAAACAATGATCCCTACAAATATACCCAGTCTTAGAAATGACTACAAACTGGGGTACCCTAAGGTACCTAATATATCTTGGATTTTTTTTATCCCTTTAGGGAAAAATAATTAAAACTGGGGGGGGGGGAGCACCTTTCAACGCTATAATAAAAAGAAGGATTTTATTACCTGGGCTTAGAAAGAGTCTACAGAAACAGAAGTTTTGTTTGTTGTGGGGGAAAACTCAGAAAAGTATCATAATTCATCACCCTCCTTTGGGTTCAGCTTTCCATTAGTATATCACAGCAACAGTTAACTGAGTGGCTTCTCCAAGGAATTGTAGGTTTTTGATGGGGTTGTGAATTCTTTTCAGAATGCCGCTGGCTCAATTTATTTCCAGGGTGCCAAATCCTTCTTAAATGCAGAGGTGTTTGCTCAGGTTGAACAATATAATCTCCCCAATGGTAATTTATTGGAGCAAATACTCTCTTATAATAACCCCTCAGCTAAAGAGTTTTCCAGGAATGCTAACTGCATCGGCAATGGCAAAATATATGGACAGAAGTATTGCATTTGTTCAGACCAAGAACTTGGAGTAAAAAAAATAATAGTATTGCACCTTTTCCTGAGAGACTTGTAGTAATTGCACTTGGATCACAAACATATTATGTGGAAGTAAACTGAGGTGAAAACATTGGAATGTGATTGGTTTGTGATCACAGACTTCCTTTTATGCTCCCATTGATTATTTCCAGGAAATAGGAGAGGAGCAAAAATAATCCCCAAAAGCTTCCACTCTTGAAAGAAGGTATTGAGATTTGGAAGATGAAAGCACCCCACACTTCAGAAAGCCTTTTGCTCCTTGTTGCTGTCCTACCGAGTACTGAAAATCTAAAACATAGATGTAAGCTCTGCCTTTGAGTTTGAAGTCCTCATTCCTGGATCCTGTGATCCTCACTACATTGCTCACTGCAAGCAAAAATGTGGTGTGTATGCGTTACTGTTAAAATAAGAAAAAATCCTTAAAGGCTAAGGGTGATATCTGACCGGCTGTGTACACAAATTTTATTCTAGAAACAACAGAGTGTGCATATTCCACACACATAGTCCACACACAATTTAGATCTATTGCCCCTGAAAAGCATTTATTGAGAATATTATTTCATTCCAAAAACAAAAGCTCCCTGCAGATTGATCCAGCATTACCATGCAGTGTGCCCACTTGAAAATACATGTAGGCAATTGCATGAATCCACACCTGCCCAGTGATGGATGGTGGGCGTATACCAGAATCACAATCACCACATCCTCCTTCATTTACCTGGACCATGTGTAGGGCAAAAAAGGCATGAATAACCGAACCAGGGGGAGGGTTTTCAAATGCACATCAAGTCATGATATGCCTGTGGGTGGCAGGATACAGAATCAATCTAGATTGAAAGTGGTATGTTGAGGGTGAGCATGAACGATTCTGAATGGAAAAAGCTTCGTGTTTGCGCTACAAGCCGATTAGTCGAAGTCAAGGGTGAGAGAACCTTTTCAACCTGAGAGCCATATTTCTACTTGCAGGCTTCTCCTGTGCATC